ACAGAGCCACAGAGAGCTGGCTTCCTCCCACTGTAACCAGCAGGACGTAGTTGACCAACACGGAGATCATTGAGTAGACGATGTCATAGCCTGCACATATGAATATGTGAATATTTAATGATGGGCAATATGAATTACATAATGAAGGGGGAAAAAGTTAGAATCCTGGGCAACAAAACCTGATGCCACTTTTTCATAATAAGTACAATTTGAACCACTTTTTGGGGTTTTTTTTTTTAATTGAAAGAGTTCCATACCTGGACATAACTTGACACCCTGTGCACAAACCCTATGAGACTGGTCTAAATAATTCCAAGTGTTTTCTTAATAAATGCTTCAATATTTGTTTCCTACTAAATATGGCTTTTAGGACATGTTAGCGCTTTCTCATGGCTGATTGGTTACTGCAGGGGAAAATATGTGATGTCCATGTATGGAATTCTTTCCTTTTTTTTAAATTCATACATATTTGTAATATTTTTTGCAAATTTTGTCAATATATTGACTTGTTATTTGTTTCAAATTTTTGCTAGGATGTAACCTCAATCCTGCAAAATCCTCCAACTGCCTCCGCGTAAAAATAGTACACACCCTCGATCCTGCAAAATCCTCCGTTATTTCTTAAATGTGGTCCTTGGAGGGGCGACCACTGCCGCAATCCCGCAAAATTCTCCAGCAATCACTGTCAGTATGTTGAGGCAGAGCCAGTGACATCCTGGAGCAGTACAGAGCATTTCAAGCCTAATCCAGGCCTATATTTATGCATGGCTGAGCAAAAACAACACAAGATATGGCCCAAAACATAGACAAAGTGCATCCTACAAAATCAGTAACGCACTTTTGCCATGTAACCTCAATCCTACAAATTCCTCCATTTTGGCAAAGAGGATTTTGAAAGATTCAGGGCGGTTAGGGTTAACGAGAGTCAGTCACTGCAAATGCATTAAAAAGAAAAATAAAAAAATGGAGAAACATTGCTTGCAAATCAAATTTGTCCGTTTAGTTTTTTTTTTGTTCTTTTACCAAAGTTCAGTGATGCCAGCGTGAGGCCACACAGAATGAAGTAGACATGCTTGATAAATTGTGACTGGCCGTGCAAGTAGGTCCTGGAAATGTAGCACAATGGATAACCTAGGGGAAAAAGGACAACAATCATTATTGTCAATGGGGGATAGTGGAGTAATGCTTGCTGGGGGGGGGGGGGGGGGGGGGGGGGCGGTATTCGACTACCTTAAACTTACCCGACCCGACCTGACGACAATTCAAAGAAAACCGACCCGAAACCGAACCGATCCGGAAAAAACCCCAAATATCTGGCTTCGGCAAATGTGTATGATTTTTGCACCTGAACTGTCCCACTTTCAGACTTTATTTCCCTTTAAAACAAAATGTTCCAGAGCCATGAATCAAAATCCTCCAGAGCCACCAATCGCGCCCAACATATACGCATCAAAGAGGGCGCTGTACAATCTAGCTGGCTTAATATCGGGATAAATATCCACTATCAATGAGTAAATCAGGGAAAGCCTCTGTGAAAACAACGTTGATTACAATATAACAAGCATGACAAGGAAACAGGCACCAGCCAAATATCCATTGTCATGATGCATGACTGTCTTCCAAAAAGTTAACATATCGTCAGACCCCCTAACATGCCTAAAGCTATGCGATCCTATTTTTATGCGCTCACCTTCAATTTGCATAATTTGACAATGCTTGCACGTTGCAAGCGTTACCTGCTGCATAGATTATTATGGCGGGTCGACATGGTCGAGGATAAATTTCGCTCAAGTTTTAGTTCAAACAAATCCCACAAAAGGGCATGAAGGGGGCGAGTTGGAAATGGGGCGATTAGGCCAGGGGTCGAGTTTGTAAGAGGCGAGTTGGTCAGGAGGCGAATTGGAAAGGGGTGAGTTGGTATGGGGAAGGTCGGCCAGGGGGCGAGTCGACAGACCTAACGTTAATAATAGCAAGTACAATCAAATGAACGTGCGGCAAGTATTTGTTGCCGGCGGGCGCCTGTTTAAAAAGAAAAGTTTTAAAAATCTCCACTTACACAAAAGCAGTGTCATGAGATAAAGAAAGCTTGGGGCATCTAGACCCACAAGACCTGCAACCCCGGCCAAAAGGCCGGAATTACTCGCAGTTTCCACGGTTTCAGAAGACATTTTTGCATGCACAATCGCTCAGTTTTCCTCAACTTGTGGATATGGTGTGACCTGAACTAACCTTTGACCGTACTTTACGCCCGGTGGCGTCGTCCATTTGTCTAATAGGGATGTTCAATTAAAGATGATTGTTATTTTAATAATCAGGGACAATGATAATGAGATTTGTTAGTTGTTTCAGTAAAAAAAAAACCATTTGTATACAATTGATAGGGAAATAAAATTAATGTAAGGAAATGTTATACTTATTAATAAAACAACAGTATACTTTACTTTAGAAGCAACTCCCCAAGTGATAATAATGGTACAGTCAGTGTGTCGAAAGTTTGATGACACTGACCTGTTGTCTCTGCTCCAGCGAAATTCACGTTATAAGTTTTTTTTATTACGGGGGCTTGGGCAGGGGCCGGGTGTGACCTCTATTCAATATTTACCATTTTGTATTCAATACCTAGACTTTATCATTTGCATTCAGTGTGTTATCTTTAAGGTCAAATGCATTGGGAAACTGGGTTGAACAATCTTCAAAGCTGCAAGAACTGTAAACAAAGTCGATTTTCATGTATCAAAACAATTTTTATTTCAGAATTTTCATCAAATGACAATATTAAAAAAAATCGAGTTTTTCATCCATCTTGCTTATCCGTTCACATTGACCCCAACCTTGTTCCCACAGTGTCAAGCAGTATACTCTTAAACTACCGGCACCTGCTCTATTACAAGCAGTGTTGAAATCAAGCAAGCCCCGGGAACGAGGTTTTTGCAAAGACTCAAAATGAGGGTTGGAAGTTCAAATGTTTATACATGAAGATTTTTGAATTCTCAAAAATAGATTATACAATAAAAATATAATTGTGCATTAGATTGTTCTCTACTATGTGAAAAATAAAACCTTGTTACACCTTCCACCACCAATCAAAATAAAACTAAACACAAATTCTAATTTGTCACAAATCTCTAAGCATTAATGTCCAAGACCCATTTTGTCCAATAATTGACCGAAAGTAACAAAACCAATTGAAATATAAAGGCTCTGTGATTTAAAATACATCAGGCGCAATTACAAGTAGTACTAAAGATATATCACGCTTAAGGGACCATCACCAATACATCAAAAACATATAACAAAGACAATTATAATTACATTTGTGTGATTACCATTAAAAAATCTAACGCAGCTATGGCTATTCAGCAATACCATGCTTGACTGCTTTAAAACTAAACAAGCTCAACTTTTCGACAAACAAATCCAAGGACTTAAAAATTTGGTGGGCAAAATAACAATAACTACAACAAAAAAGGAAAGACAGAATCTTCAAAAATTAATTCTGATGGAATGTTTGCACCATGGAGATAAAAATATTTCTCTTCAACTTAAAGCAAACTTGAATTCTTGATCCTGATTGGTCGATCCATGGCAACAACAGTGTACTTTATTACTGAATACCACGGTCCGTATCGCACTCTGTGTACTAATCCAAGATGCGTGCACCATTTCCGCTGCACGCCTGGTAAATGGATAACCACTGAAAAGTTAGTGTCCAGCGTGCGTGTTCCATCTTTTCTGTGCGTCAAGTTTGCTTGAAGATAAATTCGCTACCCCACTTGCACTCGTGGAACATGGAAAATGTAGTGCGTCTTTAGTCCTACGTACCACTCAGACTTTGGCCTCATGGAAAGTGGGACACAGACACACTACATTAATGAGCTGTTCCCACTTTCAATGGACCGATCCAGTAAGCACCGCCCCATGGTGTTCTGACCAATCACAGCCGTGATTTATGTCCGACGTGCGTGCACTAAAGTCCGACATGCGTGCACGTGCGTATGATGCGCGCGGAAGGAAAATGCAGCGTGGCATTGGAGAGGAGCACATGTTAATTTGCCCACGTGCGCACTGGGCGGAGCTTACTGGATCGGTCCAACAGCTATTGTGTTTGGTTAAGATTTTTTGTTTCCTTTTTCCGGTTTTACCGGAAGTGTTAATTTTAGACTCTTATTAACATATCTCATGCATTGTAAATCTGATGGGGCTGATATCATATATTAGTTGGGAAGCAACATCCGAAAGATATATATTGCATTATTTTCACTGTGCAGTTTATTGTTCTAATGCTATGACGTCATGAATATTTAATGAGGCAATTTTGTGGCTACCATATCTCAATAATACGATACGGTATGATTCCTGTGCAATTATTAAAGGTTATAATTTCAATTTTAAGGGTGATAACATTTTGGAAAAATCATCAAATCATTTTCTGCTGTGCAATAGACGATCAAAAACATTTTGGGAACAGCTCTGTGGTTGTTCAGTTACAACCACAATCTATAGTTATTCCGTGTTCCACTCGCGCTCGTGGGATAACTAATACAGGGTGAGTAAAAAAAAAACGAAACCCAAATGTCGGGACAATTGTTTTTATAGTGAAGTTCTGCAAGTAGCACTTTCAAAATCTAGGATATGAAAGCCCAATTCATAAGCTTTATTTTAGTACAAGAATCATTCAAATCACTCGTGTACTTTTCAAGTTACGGAATTTTAAACACAACCACCGTTTTACCATTCTGTCCACGGATCGCAAGAAGGTAAGTGTTCTCTCAGCAAAACGAAAACAAATCACATAAGGATGTGTGTGTTTTGCTGAAAGAACACACACCTTTTTTTGTGATCCGTGGACAGAACTTTAAAACGGTGGTTGTGTTTAAAATTCAGTAACTTGAAAAGTACATAAGTGATTTGAATGATTCTTATACTAAAAGAAAGCTCATGAGCAGGGCTTGCATATCCTAGATTTTGAAAGTGCGACATGCATATAACTTCACTAAAACAGTAGTCCCGACATTTGGGGTTCGCTTTTTTTTTACTCACCCTGTACAACACAGGGACTTCCTGTTCTACAACTATCAGCTCATTTAACGATCTAATCAGCCACAATATACACCTCATATAAAACCTGAGAACCAATTTATAGAACCAATATAATTAATCATTTTAAAAACACTTCCCGACAAAACATACAATAACGCCAAATCCATATTTTTATGAATTCTACAAATTTACATGGTGTTCACAGCAAGCTTTTTGCAATATTAGTATATAACTTTTGTATCTTATTTCGATATTATCATAATTTACAAACACAGACCATTTCTCTAGTTTCATATAATCTCAGAGGAATGTTTCTTTTTTTAAACTTTGACCCATACCTTAGAAGAACAGTACTTTATAGCAATGAATTGCAATTATTCGACACATAGAAGCACCTTTTTTTATTACAGAGCACCCAAGTTCTCATGTTCCAAGTGTCGTTATAGAAATTTTCTAAAAAAAAAATTAGCGTATTAAACTTTTCGTACATATAACTACTTCAATATTTGACAGCTGGCATTTTAAAACAAACTCTTTTTGACAGTACATGTAATAAAAACAATGATGTAACGTAGAAAACCAGTACGGGTGACAAAATCTAAAAAGAAAATATGATCAGACAACAAAATTTCTCACGATATGTTTTAAGGGAATGAACATGTGTTTGGCCAGTTCTAAACACGTTCCTTTAAAACCAGCTAGGGGCCTGGTCACAGATAATGACGCTCGCCTTAGGCTCGTACTTTGTACTTTTTAAAAATGGCCAAGCACATATTTATTCTTATTCATAAATACCTGTTCAGTCAAAAAATCAAAAATTGACAAAATTCCAACGATTTTTTTTCAACAAGTTTACTTTCTGTTTTGTGAAACAGCCCTCTGGCTGTGTCTATATGGTATGTACTGCGCGCGCGTAGCCCTAAAAATTTTATATGGAAATTAGCTGGCGTGCAACGCATACTCATTATCAGCGGTTTAAAACCACCCACGTGATGGGCTCTTGACCAAAAGGAATGGTAGGCTGTCTCAGGTATTTATGAATAGCATACACATAAACATGGTATGATATTATCGAGGTACGGATGCGTACTTGGTGAATAGCAAAACTATTGGCTGTCACGTGATGGTGAATGGACCAGTAAGAATGAATATGGATGAGGTATAGTATTAATCAATTTACAAGTGCAGTCACCACAGCAAGTTTGTTGGGCAGAGATAATTCAATATATTCTACCAGCGACTAAGGTCGGCTTTTCGACACGAAATAGGAGCGAATCACAAGACGTGCTGCCACCAACGTTTATTCCCAAAAAGGTCTATTTTTGGCTTGTGGGTCGTCATCTGTAACTACGCGACAGCCCCATGGAAACTTCTCAGGAAACATCACTTTTGAGGTATGTGAAGAGCATTCTGCTGCTTCACGTGCGAAAACCATGGCCAAAAATAACTGTAAACTGATGCTCAATTTTGCCATGTAACGAATCGCTATGTAACCGAGTCTTCGGCGACATCTTACGTTCCGAGTCACACATTGTCAACTTTTCCCCACAATGCAGAGCGATTTTCTCTGGGTTTGAGCCCTCTAGCGACAGTTTAGCGGTATTGTGAATCGCCTCTATTCAGCTAAACTAGAACTCTCCAAAGATTGGCAGACAGGGGCAAGTTCGCGCAAGAACTATTGTTGACCAATGGTTAGCCATAGTTCGACTAATGTTTGCCCGAACTGTCTAGTCGACGATGGTTGACTACGCTAGTCGACTATTGGAACCAGCCTACCGTGGCTGGTCGCGCAACGATTTATAGCTGGTTATCAATAGCAATTTCCATAGCATTGTGCAGAGGCGACCAACTATCATCAAAAATGGCGGAAAACGAAACTGTAAGCATTAAATTTCATTTTCATGGCACACTTTTTCCATGTTAGTTTACGATTATGTCACTTTTGTCATAATACTGGTGATTATGTAAGATGTCCGAAACAATACACAATCACTATTATTGTGTAAATAAAGAGGAAACAAGGGTTGAATAATTGTGCGACCGCGACCGCCATTTTCTGACGGTCGTTGACATGACAATTGTTCGACTAGAGTCGTTGGCACTTCAACTTCAGTGCGCATGCGTTAGGTACGTCACGAACTAACCACTAGTTCACCACTGGACCTTGCTCGAACTTGCCCTAGGGCTTCTACTTTGTCTTGGCAGTCTCGGACTCTTGACTCCTGCAAACACAAGGAAAATGAGAGTTAGCCTTTTCAGTATGTTTTTACTCCACAATCTTAAGGGTAATTTTCAAAGGGTGTGGGTTCGAATCCAGCAAGTGTGAAAGTGGTCCCAGTTTCTATGAGCAGAACAGTTGCTTCTCTTTAAGAACCTTCGCTGGAGCCAGCCCCTTTAATTACACAAATCTGACTGTAGCGTGGTATGCTTTCTTACCACTATGTAATTTGAGCCACCCAGCCCTCAAACCCAGTCCATTCACCCCTGGTATCCTTCAGACCCCAAACAACCATGACAACCACATACTTGCCCCGTGATTGCCCTGTGACGGTTAAAACTCTTCCATTTTGGTCAGCAGGGGTGATCCAGGCAATCCCCATGTGAACAGTGCAAGCCTATGTAAATGTTCACAAATACAGTGGGTTTTCCCGCCTATTTATATTCACCCCACTAGGGCCATGAAAGTGACACCCCCTCTGGTGGATGTACCATGCTCCAAACTAGGATCTAGTGATAGATGACCTCTGGCATGTCTATCACATGGCTGGTACAATAAAACATAGAAATATGGGATGACGTCATTCCACGCTGGCTCCAGGCGTGCGTGCATTAAACTTTATTATGAACATTGTATGCACAGGAAATGGTCGTGTACCCAAGCCCCCACCTAGTCTATGTAATAGACTGTTGCGAAAGCCCTCGCATTGTGACCTCTAGGTTTTGACCAATCAGCGGGCGCTTTCGATATCGGGTCTTCAGTCATTCACCCATTGCGTGTCATAGAAATGGATAAAAAACCTGTGTCACACGCTCTGTATCATGTTACGTAAAATGCGCCCGGTTGTTGTATTACAAAACGCTGCATTCGAATTGACCAATCAAACCATTAGTCCTGATTTGGGAATGAAATGACGTCACGATTTAGTAAAGGCGACTCCGATTGGCTGGTGCGCGGCTTGCATATATCTGCATGTCTAGACATATCAGACGTTATACAGGAGACTTAGCTTCGTGGATAACGGGTGATACTTGGACTAGCCCCCATCTATGGCATAATGAAACTGCTAAAATGGAGCAAATTTTACTAGCCTATATGGTACACACAATAAGGGGGGCTGTTTGCTTTGAGTAAATACCAAAGACTTTACCCAAATCAAACAGCGCCCCCCTATTGTGTCTGCCATATCTCAAATAGGCTAATAGTCTAGACATGGCAAATCATCTGTAAATTTCCCCCCCCCCCCCCTTCTCTCAAAGTAAATCTCATCCACAAAATGAACTCCACAAATGACACTTACATAGATGCTGCCTCTCTCTTGCTTCTTTCCATTTTCTTGAGTGCTGGATCGATGGCAAACTGGAAGACGAGTATAAACACGACGTAAAACCAGAGGGGGGCGTAGTGCATGGCTGAATACACCTACACAGAATGAAAGGAACAATTCCATGAAAAGTGGAGAAATAACGGATTCACAATAGAATGTGCCATCAAGAGTCTACTTGGGGAGCTTTTTTTTTTACAGTACATTATAGGCAAAAAGTTGACATCCAAAAGGCCAAATGTACAATGTGCTTTGTGCCTAGGCAGCCAACACACAGGGAGAAAAATGGCACATCTCCACTACATAATCAAGCACACACAGTTGTGTTTTACATAACTCTCGAGGACAAGGCATTGTTTTCCCTTCATCCCTATAATATAACACAATATTCACAATAGAATGTGCCATCAAGAGTCTACTTGGGGAGCTTTTTTTCTACGGTACAAAAAATTGACATCCAAAAGGCCAAACGTACAATGTGTGCTTTGTGCCCTAAAAACCCAAAACACAGAAAAAATGACACATCTTCACTACACAATAAAGCACACACAGTCGTGTTTTGCATAACTCTCGAGGACAAGGCATTGTTTTTCCCTTTGTCCCTATAATATAACACAATATTCACAATAGAAAGTGCCATCAAGAGTCTACTTGGGGAGCTTTTTTTCTACGGTACAAAAAGTTGACATCCAAAAGGCCAAATGTACAATATGTGCTTTGTGCCTAGGCAGCCAAAACATGGGGAGAAAAATGGCACATCTTCACTACACAATCAAGCACACACAGTTGTGTTTTGCATAACTCTCGAGGACAAGGCATTGTCTTTCCCTTTGTCCCTATAATATAACATAATATTCACAATAGAATGTGCCATCAAGAGTCTATTTGGGTAGCTTTTTTTCTACGGTACAAAACTCTCGAGGACAAGGCATTGTCTTTCCCTTTGTCCCTATAATATAACACAATATTCACAATAGAATGTGCCATCAAGAGTCTATTTGGGTAGCTTTTTTTCTACGGTACAAAAAGTTGACGTCCAAAAGGCCAAATGTACAATATGTGCTTTGTGCCTGGGCAGCCAAAACACAGGGAGAAAAATGGCACATCTTCACTACACAATCAAGCACACACAGTTGTGTTTTGCATAACTCTCGAGGACAAGGCATTGTCTTTCCCTTTGTCCCTATAATATAACACTCTCCCAAAGACTAAGCACACAAACGCACAATCGAGGACCGTTTTCAACAAAAGATGAACTCTCGAGGACAACACAGAACCTGTTGGGAAAGATTGCCATATACGAAGTTCACTCAACACCCTGTGTACAAACCCTATGAGATTGGACTGAAAAATTCTAAGTGTTTTCTAAGAAAATGCTTGTATTTTCTCACTGCTCAAATTGACTTTGATGACATGAAATTGCTATCTGGGGGCTTGTTAGTCAATACAGAGGAAAATTAGTGAACTTCGTAAATGGAAATCTTTCCACCTGTTGTCCTTTTGTCTGTCTGTCCTCGGGGTGTATGTAATTCACGTTTAACCTTGCAATCTTTGTGTGGACATGAAAACAAAACAGGTCCACACGACGCAGGTTGTGTGAACCTTCTGTGGACTAGGCCAGGCCCACACCAGTTTTCCCCATCTCTGGAAAACAGGTTTAAAGGCATTTTGGGGTTAGGTTTATCCATCGCAAAATGAAAAGGAACACTTAAGGAAATCATGATAAATAAATTGGGTTGAAAAAGTGTTCACAGTGCGAGTAAAGTTTTTCTCCAGGTTTTTCTGAACTACACGAAGACAAAGGAATGTCCACACTAGGTGTGTAAGGTAGGCCTGGATGTGTGTCTGTGTGTTTTTACAAGAGGGTACTTGTGGGTACTCGCAAAGAGGAAACAATGGTACCCAATACGTCGTTCTGTGTCTGATGGTACCCAACTAGGGAAAGTCTGTGTGAGTGTGTTCCGGAGTTGATCACCTGAGTAGCGGGTGATTGCTCGCGGAGAAAGTGGCGGTTCGTCTCACAAAGGGGCATGTCATGGGTTGGAAACACGCGACACCCACTTCGAGGCAGCAGGTGGTCTGGCCTCGTAATAAAATTCAGGGTGGATCAAAAAAGAAAGAAACCGAGATATTAGTGCTAATTGGAACAGAAATAGGGCACACGTGAATCAAAGGGAGATATCCTCTGTTAGGGTTGAATCTCCTCTTTAAAATAACACCCTGGTCATGTCATTACATTCACGGTTGACTGAGCAATGACCAATTTTATGAAAGGGTCTATTTAAAACATTGCGCCACTTTTCAATTGTGGTTTTTGTGGTGTCATTTGTCACAGAGTGAAAGGCTATGGTTGCCAATTAAGGCGGGTGGAAAAAAAACAGAGATTTCACCATGAAAAGTTGTGCAAGTCTCTAAATAGACCCTTTCATAACATTGGTCACTGCTCAGTCAACCGTGAATGTAAAGACATGATCAGGGTGTCATTTTAAAGAGGAGATTCAACCCTAACAGAGGATATCTCCCTTTGATTCACACGTGCCCTACTTCTCTTCCAATTAGCAATAATATCTTGGTTTCCTTTTTTTTTATCCACCCTGTATAAGTAATTTACTTTATATATCTGAGAAAGTGATTGGTTGCTGGTGAACAGGACTTCCAGACGTAAGTTCACCTGAAAAAAAAACAATTTGCACCCCTTTAAATTTTTGCTTTGTCCCACTGTACTGCAAAATAGCAATTTCCTGGTGACTGGTCATATATACAAAAACTCCCAATATTTTAATGACTTACTATGCGTGTTCTCCTCCATCGCAGCAGCACAAAGGGAATCAGTGCGTAGCTGAAGGTGAAGACATTCCACACCTTGAAGACTACGAGCAGGCAGATCTTGACCGGGGGTATCTCGGCAATCCGGGCCAAGGGTGGGTAGCGTTTGTTGATATCAACTACCTGAATTTGGAGGGGAAAAAACCCAAAAAGAAATCAGCTTAATCTTGAAAAACGGACTGAAGAAATTCAGGAACCGATTACCACGCAAAGTGAGCAGACATTTCTTGGTGGTTTTGAATCGGCAACTTGCATTAGGTATGGCTCATGTTTACTGTGACATTTGAAATCAAGGCATTCTAGAGTATTCTGATACTGTTTCAAACAACATTTGCTTTTGCTGTAATTTTCAGAAATGGATAGATTTGGGAGTTAGTATTTTGTAGCTATTTGTTGCACTGACCTGTTTAAAGTTTTGTGTTCATAAATGCTGGAAAACCAAGCAAAAAAAATGCTGTTCTTGTAGTCTGGTTCCCCGAGTCTACTTCAGACGAAACTGAACGATTTATGGTCGTCTGGGGAACTGACAGAGCAGTGAACCAGACATTAAGCTGGCTTGCAGCCATTTATGTATGTGTAACAGGTTGTAAAAGAAAAAACAAGGACCACCTAAATTTGGTAAACTGGGGGCAGTACTGGAGAAAAAAATCAGTTTCATCCAACAATGGTCTGCCATCGTTGGAATTGATACAAAGAGTCCACTTTTCATGAAAATGACAGCACACCAGGTGTCATTCTTTCACAGCATGCTTGAGACTATTATTCACCTACAGTCAATAAGGTATTTCATACTAATTTGGTCTTATTTCATACTAATTTGGTCTAATGATGGTCTTGTTATGTATTTGTGATGGACTTGTGACAGACTTGTGAAGACTTGTGAGCAGTGGTGGCACTACGAAGGGGGGGGGGGGGGGGTCCCCACCCCGTTTTCTCCCAACACTTAATCAACAAATAGATTATGTTTATTTTCTTCGCTGCTAAGATTCATAACATGTAGACACATTTTGGACCAATGAAAGCATTATAAACATTGGTACTTCAGACAAAACCCGCCACACATGCATTGATACAGCTGTAGATAGTGTGCAGCCAACGTCTTTGTACATTTGTTATACATCTGTGATACACCATTCTGCACTTTGATACATTTCTCATTCATAAAAATGACTACACCTCCAAGTTGCTCGAGTAACTTATTTCCAGACAATTGCCAATGGACATGTGCACATACACAGGCTTTAGTATTTAAAGTGTGCATCGGCACGATGATGTGGGTCATTTTATTTTGACCGCCCTCAAAAAATATTTCCTTGTCCCCCAAGTGCCCCACCCCCCCCCCCCAAAAAAAATAGTCTGATGTTGTGATGGACTTGTGATAGACTTGTAAGACTTGTGATTGACTTGACTTGACACTGCATAGAAACAAAACATTTCAAAGATGGACTGAAATGAATAAGGGAAACTTATTTCATTTAGTCCAGAATGTGTGCCAGTACATTTTCTTTTATTTTTAAAATGATGCCACACCTTAGCTTCAATGAAGAAAACAAGGAACTCCTGGGCGAAACCCATGTAGTAGCCGATGTACAGACCGTGCCAGACTGCCAGGAAGAACAGCGAGGCTGACTGGGAGACGAGACGATTGTTCAGGAACTTGAGTCTCTTGTAGATGTACCTGTTGGGGTAATCTGTATACTTACTATTGGGACAATTCAAAAGTGCCCCCTAGTCTCCCTCAAAAAAGTCAATTCCATTTCCTAGGTATGCAATGATGTTTTTAACTTGTAATGTTAAAGGGAATATACAACATTTGCAAACATCAAAAAATAAAACTACCAAATCATTTTGAAATACCTTGCTGGACTGTTAGTGAAAAGTTAGTGTAAAGCATCCTGTAAAATCATGGCACCTGGTATACTGTCATTTTCAAGAAAAGTGCTATCTTGGTATCAATTTCCAACGCTGATCGGCCGATCAGCTTTGGAAACAACTGGCTTTTTTCAAATACTGGCCCCAATTGACCATCGCACTTGTTTGCAATCGATTACACACCTATGAACGGGTACGAGCCAGCTAGACTGCATGGTTCCCTGACCTTACAATTCCCCAATGTATGTAAACTGCTCTGTTTCTTCTTATATGGAGTCAGGGAACCAGACTACAGGAAAATGATTGTTTTTCTTGGTTTTTATAGCATTTTCGAACCCAAAACCTCAAAAAAGTCAGTGTAACTATATTTGCTATATATTTCCAACCCCCCAATTCCATCCATTTCTGAAAATTACAGCAAAAGCAAATGATGTATATTCCCTTTAAAGAGGTTGTGGAATGCTCGAAGACATTTCCGTCATTTTTTTGGGATATGTAGCCTAAGGTGTGATGAAATAAAAACGACTATTGTTTCTCTCATGAAATGAGTACAAAGGGTACTTTTGAGAGCTATTTTTCAGGTCCTGTTTCTACCCGAACGTGCAATTTGTGTAAAAGTCGTCGTTGCGGGCAGCAATAAAAACACAGTAAATCGTGACGTAATAAACAGGACTCGTTTATGCTACTCTGCATCGGGAGTCCTGTTTATTACGTCACGATTTACTGTGTTTTGTTTGCTGCCCGCAACGACGACTTTTACACCAATTGCACGTTCGGGTCGAAACAGGCATGACAGGACTTGAAAAACAGCTCTCAAAAGTACCTTTTGTACTCATTTTATGACAGAAACAATAGTCTTTTTTATTTCATCACACCTTAGGCTACATATACCCAAAGAATGACGGAAATGTCTTCGAGCATTCCACAACCTCTTTAACTTGTTATGTTAAGGAAGGTGAACCAAACAGATAGAGAGCTCTTGATTTGGTCCGCATTCTTCGTCATATTCAGACTATTTTGGAGAGATCAGGAACCAGATTTGTTCGTCTTTTTTTGGTACCTTGGCGCACTGATTCTCAAATGTTTACGGATATACCGGTACAAAGCCCCTTCACAGTAGTGTTGTGCATCGGGTCGGGTTGTCCAGGCCAAACCGACCAGAAGCATTATAGATACGAACCGAATCCGAACCGAAACCGATCTGAACTCCCGGAAACCAACCCGACAAAATTTCAAAGAAACCGACCCGAACCGACCCCCAAAAAAACCTAAATATCTAGCCTGGGCAACTGTGTCCGCTTTTTGTGCCTGAGCTTACCTGAACTTTTTATAGAATGAACCTATATATCACAAGATAATTGTTGCATTAAATTCTGGCGAGAAACCTCAAAGACTTTTATCAAAGTGGGGTGCTGTGGTCCAATGGTTACGGTGTTCGGCTCGTGTGCCGTGGTACATGGGTTCGAATCCTGAACGTGGGAACATGGTGCTTGCGCTCTTGAGCAAGGCACTTTACCATTACTGCTTCGTCCTTTGGATGGGACGTAAAGCCGTAGGTCCCGTGTGTTGTGTAATGCTTGTTAAAGAACCCAGTGACACTTATCGCTATTAAGAGAAGAGGTTTGCCCCGGTGTTTCTGGCAGTGGCTGCAATATGCGCCACAGCACCTTGTATATACCCTTATAAGGAGCTACATAATGGGTCTCATATTTCTCATGTACTTCATTTACCTGTCTCTAATAATAGACATAATTTCCAGCGCCTTGAGTACTAATTGTTGGTAGATACGTACACTATATAAGACTCCGGTATTAGGCCCCCCAAAAAAATAATCGGTCTCTGGTCAGACCGAAGTTCCGGAATTGATGCGGCGACGCGTTTTTTTTTTTTTTGGTGGCTTTTTTTTTTTTTTTTTCAAGCTTCAATTGTACAGACAAGGTGGGTACTATTTTGCTTTTTTGTGTCCTCATTATACATTGGTGTCCTCCATCATTTGCCTTGGTGCCCTTTATCATTTGCTTTGGTGCAATTTCCCCATTTCTTGGTGCTCCTTGGTACAAAAATTTGAGGAGGTGCGGCAATACAGGGTGCTGTTGTAGCTTCCGTGTTAATTTGAAGAAGAAAAAAAAGGTTGACGCGCATGATTAAAATCGATGTGCGCGCTGACCAGAGACCGAGTGGTTTTTTTTTTTGCCTTATTATTATTATTATTATTATCAATACATACTGAAAATTATGGTCCTATAACACTTTGAAGAACTGGAGTTCTCCATGTTTTCCACACCCACCTTGAGAGCCAAGTGTTAATAGTGATGTTATGTGACTGGACAAGATCCCTGCCATTCGTCGCCAGCTCAAACACCAGAGGCCTGAAGTTAACGCAGCCGTCCCACAATGCATTGCCATTCTCGTCTCGTCCATTGTAGGCCAACCCGCTCATGATGCAAACACCCTCCTGAGGATCAGCAAGGGAACGATACCCGACGATTAACCCTAACCGGGTAATCCTTACTTTTAGGACCCCGTTCCTATATAGGAAGGGAAAGACTCACCGAAACAGTTGGCTAAATGACACTCAAAATTGACATTCTGATACTTCTTGGCACATCTGAACAATTGGCAATGACACCTTCTTGAATATCAGCAAGTTTAATTTTGTGGAAAGAGGGCAGGGCTTTGATTTATGAGGGAAATTCAGGGGTAAAAGACGACGATGACAACCAGAAAACAGACTCAAAAACCAAGATGGCAAACGTGAAAGCTTGATGCAATGAAAGCTCGTTGCTGATTGGCTGATAAAAAATAAACATCTTATTTATTGTTTTTTGGCAGCCAATCAGCATCGGGCTTTCATTATGTAGGGCTTTCAGACTCAAAAACCAAGATGGCAAACGTGAAAGCTCAATGCAATGAAAGCTCGTTGCTGATTGGCTGATAAAAAATAAACATCTTATTTATCTTTTTGAGCAGCCAATCAGCATCGGGCTTTCATTATGTAGGGCTTTCACTGTGTTGTGAGAACTACAACATGCACGTCTGACTGCGAAAAAGGTAGGAAAGTCACATTTTCTTTGAAAGTGCTTTCAAAATTACAACTAACATGAGTTTATATGAAGAAAAAAGACTGCTTTAGCCTGCAAAAGTCACTTTGGTACTGGACAGACATCTGCAAAAGTCAGTTTTGAACAGAACTTGTAAAAAATAGAGGTGTCCTAAAAGTAAGGATTACCCCTAACCTTCCCAAATCCTCCGAAATCCTCTTCGGAAAATGGAGGATTTTGCAGGATTGAGGCTTCATGGCAAAAAGGTGTGGCTGATTTCGGAGTATGCACTTTGTCAAGGTCTTGGGCCGGACCTTTTGCCCAGCCACGCATAAATATAGGCGTGGATTATACTTGAAATCCTCTGCACTGCTCCAGGATGTCAATGGGCTGCCTTAACATATGTGATGCGATCAGGCTAAATGAGTCGTTTGTCGGGAATTTTCATTTGGAGATTTGGGCCAAAATAGGACCACTTCTTCACATCATTTCATCATTTTTCTTGGTGTTCCAACTTTCATAATTTTTGAATAACAGATGATTCCAGCACGCGGTTTTCACAGCAGTAATGCTGAGATTTTTTTTTTTCAAATCTGTAAAAAAAAAATGACCAGGGTCGACAAATGATTCATTTAGCTTGATCGCATCACATATTGACAGTGATTGCCGGAGGATTTTGCAGGATTGGGGCAGTTGGTCACCCCTCCAAGGACCACGTTCAAGAAATAACGGTGCATCTTGCAGGATTGAGGCTGTATGCAATTTTTACACGGAGGCAGTTGGAGGATTTTGCAGGATTGAGGTTACATCCTAGCAAAGATGCCTCTCCCTGTGTTATTTCCAATTGTTCAAACTTTTTTTTATTTAGCTTTCTTTAACATTATAAAATAATATCGACTCTTTGAGGAGTTATTGAAATTAATCAGATCTCCGAACATTTGTGACCTGTTCTGTCAAAAGCAGACGCTTCTGGGCAGAGGATGAAATTGAGATAGGGCCAAAAAACGCTGTGGTGGTGATTTTTTTTCGATTTTCTAATTTTTGCATATTTGTAATCCTGAACATGTCTAAAATTTACTATAAAAGTTTGAAACCCTAATTTGAACTCTAAATATGGTATTTTTGATGATTTGTTGAGGTATATCAGTTAAAGAAATTACTGTTTTGTGACGTTCGTGGCCATTTTCTCCGTTTTCTACTTTTCGACACAATGAACTTCAAAATAGCATAACTTTGCCCAGGAATTACAGGTTTCAAAAATTAAACCACCTATTAAAAGGGAAATGTACATATTTTAACAATATGCACAAATCTCATTTTGGACCATATGCCCAGAAAAGTCTGATTTTGACAGAACAGGTCACATTTAGTAATGACATAATACTTTACAGATTTCAAGTGGCCCGGAAATAATTCAATCGGATCTTTTTTTTGCAGTGGAAATGCAAAATCAATCCTCAAAAAAAAAATTTGTTAGTGGGTTGCACATGCCAACAATGGAACAGGTACTTTTTCAATCAAATAGAACACAAAAATTGAAAATGGGAGAAAAAATACTTATTTTCTTATTGTGACCAGATAATTTGCTTACCGCCAACAGAAAGATGACAGAGTACTTGAAGAGGACACATTTGCCCCATCCCATCACCACCAACACTTGGAACGGGAAAGACAAACTCTGCGAGAGCAAAACAATCAAATGATAAAATAAACTGGTTTCCCACGTTTACATGATAAAAAAAAAAAATTAGCATGAGGCGATAGCAAGAAAGTGTTTGGAATTGTGTTTACTTGCTGAACACATTTTTGTAGGCCAGGCAAATATCCCAGTACAGAGGCAATTAGGCTACATTTGTCCCGATGCCTAAAATTGAAAACTCGGTCCGATGGTCAACTTGACCTCTCTTGGAAAATGACTCATAACTCTGTCAAAAATTATCGGATTTGGACGTATAATGTTTCATTTTGAAGTGGAAAGGCGTATCTTTCAAACCATACCTATATTATTTATGTTGGTTAAATATTCTATGTCTGGCATTCCATTATATGTGACAGGCTCAACAAAAAAAAGGGTACTATGTCGCCAAAAAGTGAAATTGGGTTATATACATGGTTGGAAAGCCCACAACGTAAGCTTTCATTTTGTATATATAGCAGAGCTCCATAGCCCCTCCCGTTCTGGAGACATGACGTATTTGCATATTAATTACTTCCTTGGAGTTCGAATTACACAACTGAGAAAACAGGCTTGAAAATAGCTGGCTTTGTTGTAGAACAACAGAACGATGCATACAAAATGGTTGGTTTTTCCACTTTGTTCATCAAAATCAACATTTCTGTAAATGAAACCTGAAACTCTAGGTGTGTTACAAGAAGTCATTCATGACAAAAATGAAAATCATATTTTGACAAAATGTTCACCCTCTCAATGTTGAGCGGGCCATTACACAATAATGCACAGCACGGCTTAAAGAGGTTGTGGAATGCTCGAAGACATTTCCGTCATTTTTCGGGTATATAACTCCCGATGCAGAGTAGCATAAACGAGTCCTGTTTATTACGTCACGATTTACTGTGTTTTGTTTGCTGCCCGCAACGACGACTTTTACACAAATTGCACGTTCGGGTCGAAACAGGACCTGAAAAATAGCTCTCAAAAGTAACCTTTGTACTCATTTCATGACAGAAACAATAGTCGTTTTTATTTCATCACACCTTAGGCTACATATACCCAAAAAATGACGGAAATGTCTTCGAGCATTCCACAACCTCTTTAATACTTTTTTGTGGAGCCAGTCACATTTTGTTCGCATGTTCTTTATACAACACTGTTTATTTGTTTAGAATCTGCCACTTACTGCGAATTCGGAAGACATGATGTAGGCATTGGAAAAGATAGGAGACAATGACGTGTACAGCACAATGAACACGCAGCTCACGCCGAGTTTCTGGAATGCCGGCTTGATGCTATTGGGCGGCAGCCCCTGGTCGTTGTCCGTTAATTTGCCCGCCGTGAAATCCAGGTAGGTCCGGAGGGGGAATACGGGCGGGGAGAAACAGCCGCCAAGGAAGTATGCGTAGCTACTGAACTCCAGGAATGAGGGCGGGCTTTTCAGACGCAACTCCTTCTGTTCTTGACTCAGTTTCTCCTGCAAGAATTTGTTTAATGTAGTCCATGAATTGTACAAATCACAGTCAAATCACAAGTCAATCTCAAATCAACCACAGGTTAGGCCAAAAAAAAATAAATATTCGGTCTCTGGTCTGACCAAAGTTCCGGAATTGACGCGGCCACGCGGCTTTTTTTTTTTTTTTTGCTTTTTTTTTTTCTTCAAGCTTGGATTGTACAGACAAGCTAGGTACTATTTTGCTTTTTTGGTGTCCTCATGTACATTGTTGTCCTCAATAATTTGCCTTGGTGCTTTCGATCATTTGCCTTGGTGCAATTTCCCATTCCTTGGTGCTCTTTGGTAAAAAAAATTGAGGAGGTGCGGAAATAGAGGGCGCTGTTGGAGCTACCGCAGAACATTTCGGAAAAAAAAAAGATCGACGCGCATGATTAAAATCGACGCGCGCGCTGACCAGAGACCGACTTATTTTTTTTTGGCCTGATCACAAGTCAATCCTGACTTGATCACAACAAAGTGGTTTAAGACCCAGACATTTCACCCCATTTTTTTCCAGTTTTTGTCATTGCTTTTACCTGACATGTCTAAAGATATTAAATTCAAATCACCAAAAAGTTATTTTGAGGTTTAATTCACTTCGAAATTTACATTTTATTACCCAGCCTCTTTGTTCAATAATGGCACATTATAACTTGGCTTCATGAGATTTAAGGAGTTGCTGTGTCCAAGACCTTAACTTGTTGTTTTCTGTAACCCATTTTTTCTGAAGCCACTTTATCAGTCTTTCGTTTGATATATGATTTATACCGATAGCTGTAGCAAGGGGTCAGTAAAATGAGGGTAGACATAAAGAGTACATGTATATTGCTATTTTAAGAAAAATATTTACAAAACTAAAACTTGACACATTTTTGCAATCGGCCACCAACGGCCAGGGCATTTTCCACTTTTTTCTTCATAAATCGTTAGACCAACTATCTGGCTGTGAAAATAAAATAGCGCAAAAATCCCGCAAAATCGCCTTCATTCCGAAAAATTGATCATTTTTGCCGGCCCGGTGATCAGAATACAGCGGCTGAGCAAGAAAACAGCGCCCTCTGTTGACAAGCTATGAAGAGTGGAATTCCTTTAGTGAGCGCGCCTCACGCATTGCTCATGTATGCCGCAGGTACGTCGATATTACATTTTACTGAGTGTCCTTGGCATGAAATAAAGGTGAACAATTTGCACAGGCAGGTTCTTTGTAGGCTTTGGATGTCATGTAGAGCAGCTAATGTCAAAAACTTTCTAGTAAAGAAATATTATTTTCGTTACCTACCGGTATTTGCACGTGCCAGACATTAACTTTTATTCAAAATGTCATGTGTTTAAAGGGAATATACATCATTTGCTTTTGCTGTAATTTTCAGAAATGGATGGAATTGGGGGGTTGGAAATATATAGCAAATATAGTTACACTGACTTTTTTGAGGTTTTGGGTTCGAAAATGCTATAAAAACCAAGAAAAACAATCATTTTCCTGTAGTCTGGTTCCCTGACTCCATTTAAGAAAAAACAGAGCAGTTTACATACATTGGGGAATTGTATGGTCAGGGAACCAGTCTAGCTGGCTTGTACCCGTTCGTAGGTGTGTAATCGATTGCAAACAAGTGCGATGGTCAATTGGGACCAGTATTTGAAAAAAAGCCAGTTGTTTCCAAAGCTGGTCGGCCGACCAGCTTTGGAAATTGATACAAAAATACCAATTTTCTTGAAAATGACAGTATACCAGGTGCCATGATTTTACAGGATGCTTTACACTGTCATTCACTAACAGTCCAGCAAGGTATTTCAAAATGATTTGGTAGTTTTATTTTTTGATGTTTGCAAATGTTGTATTTTCCCTTTAAGTACCACTTTGGAGTATAATTGTAGCACAGTTTATTTGGGAATAGGTTCTTTCTATTCCATTATGAAGTGGGGGAAAGCATTCAGTACGATTCTGTATGACTTTCACTTACAGCATAACCTGGTTTGCCCATTAACTGTAAAAGCGTCTCAATTTTAAGGTCTTGTTTACTGATTTTTTTCTTTAAGAAACAAACTGGCCGAAGCTACAAAATGTGGATTTTTTTTAGAAGGATCTCAAAGTAAAACGTGGGCACCGATCTACTACTAGCTTCACATATGTTGCCCATTGATAACCTGGACCCCAACGCACCGAAAAAATTCTGGTTGTGATTTGACTTTGATTGCATGGTTTTAAACCACTGTGCACAAGTCAATCTCAAGTCAATCTCAAGTCAATCACAAGTCGATCACAAGTCAAATCACAAGTCAATCATATCTTTGGATTTTGAGCACTTTTGTTGCTTCAAACGAATATAATGCACAAGTTACAAATGATGGACGCTACCTTTCAGACTACATGACTTGTGATTGACTTATGATGAAGTAGTGAGGAATTCACTACATATACTCTACTAAGAACAGGAGAAATACATGTACAACTCAGGTATCAAAATATTGTCTCTTTAATTTTGTTTTGGGGCATTTATTTTCATTTTGCATCAAATAAATAGAATTGAGTCTTAAAAATGGTCGAGTGTTCAAAGATTTGAATTTTCAGCACAGCCGTTCTGTTGCCAAACAAAGAAAAACTGTTTAAAGATATAGTCCATCATTTGTAATTTGTGCATTTTGTTCGTTTGAAGCAACAAAAGTGTTCAAAGTCTAATGAAGGATACTGGACAACTAACCTGATGAAGTTTCAGCTCAGCTTCAGCTGTACATTCCGAGAAAAACAGCATTCTAGGATCTCAATTTCAAATCAAAAGTTGCTGAATCACGTTTTGAACTGTTTTGAATTGCAGCTATACGCGATGTCGCGCACTGATCCGACGAATTATAGCAACCGCGCGCGCCTGTGCGTCGTGCCAATGCTTGCGCGCGCTGTGCCGAATAACAAAACGAACTACTAATTTGAATTTTCCTACGGTGCATTGGAAAGGCCTTCTATCGTTGATTACTTCAAAATGATAGCTTGCCAGAAAGATTAATTTCACAGGGAGTTTTAGTCCACTTACTATCTTTCAACCAAGTATGTTTTTCAACAATAATACGCCAGTTTCTTTTTCGGATGGCTGCAAATGATGGACTATAGCTTTAACTGCAAATGGCTTACAGCTTAGCTCAAGCATTGGCCAAGCCCCAAAACATTAATTGTTGCCAACGGCTGTGGCTACTCACTGTAGCATTCCAACTGCAAAATTTAAAAGCCGTAGCCCAAAAAACACTAGATTCCGACTCAGTCTTTTACCTCCTTCCTCTTGCCGTCGTAAAGGTCAAAGGCCGTCCCGATCATTTTGAAGATCAGGATGCAGTGAGGCGTGGTCCAGATCAGATCGTAGCCGTCGGTGGAAAACAGGGCGTAGGCGGTCAAAAGATAGCCCTGGAGACAAAAATGAAAAGGGCAAAAAATGAGCACAGTGATGAAGAATCCTATGAACAATTACCCTCAAACAGTGACCAAAAAAGGGCTGCTTTTGTGCACCTGGCACCCATGCTAAGATATCACCCGCTTGCATAACAGTGATGTGGAAACCTGACCCGAAACCGAAACCGACTTCAGGTCGGTTTTGCGTTTGCGTTTTTGGGGTTGGCTCTGGTCGGTTAAGCCGTTTTGGAAAACCCCGAAATAACCCGAAATAAACCGGAAACAAGGTGGTTCTCGAACCACGCGTCTCGCCTGTTTTCTTTTCCATTTTTTTTGATAGATGACCTTTGACCTTGGTTTGTGACCTTTGACAACATTATCATATGTTCCCATGTCGCATCTATGACCCGAGTTTGGTGCCAGTTGGACTTCAACTGAATGGAGATTGACTTTGTTTCTGCATTCAATAGGGGACGTTGAACAATAGAGGACAATAGGGTCTCAAAATCCCAAGAGGTCCCGGATTGGATTCGTGCACAAAACATATGGGAGGTCTTCCCGACAAGTTTGAGTACAAACAAAAAGGGTCCGCTCATAAGTCCGAAGCCTCGTAAGTCAGAAGCCTCATAGGTCCGACGCCTCATAAGTCCGACAAAATCGCATCCCCTAACCAAATAAAGGCCCATATAAGTCCGACGCCTCATAGATCCGACGCCTCATAAGTCCGACGCCTTTTAAGTCCGACGCCTCATAGGTCTGATGCCTCATAGGTCTGACGCCTCATAGCTCTGTCGCCTCGTAAGTCCGACAAATTAAACGCCTTGTTTTTTCCGACGTCAGACTTATGAGGCGTCGGACTTATGAGGCGTCGGACCTATGAGGCAGAATCAATCAACTGTATGTCTCATAAGTCCGACGCCTCATAAGTCCGAAATTTATGAGGCGTCGGAACTATGAGGCATCGGACTTATGATACGGCCCCAAACAAAAGAGGGACCCCGATTGCAGGCAAACACACACTAGGGTGGGAGTGTGGAGTTGGGGTGGGGAGAGGGGAATAACTCAACAGAACTCCTGGTACCAACGGTGGTAACACTACTCACCATGTTGAATATGAATGACAAAGCGACCATCAGCTGGGTACCGCCCATCGTGACCAGCAGGGCATAGTTGACCAATATGGAGATTGCTGAATGGATGACATCGTATCCTGAATAACATGAATATATATATATGTAAATTACATGAATATATGAATAAATTAAAAGCAGACCAGCAAGGGTGCACCAGTGCAAGATAGATGGTAACATGTGAGTACAGCGTGCATGTGAGAAAACAAATGTGAACAACTGATATGAAATATTACACATTCCATTGAGGCACGACTTGCATGACTTGGGCATTCCTTAAATTAATGTAGGATGAAAACAGCAACGGATGAGATGCCGGTAGTCAGTGCATATATTCCTAGTTGTGCCAAATCAAATTAGTGTGTTTACGATAACGCTCTAAAATAATCCAGGTACTGGATACTGATATGATGTGCAACGGGTCGGGTTGACCAGGCCAAACCGACCCGAAACATTAGAGATATAAACCGAATCCGAACCGAAACCGATCTTAACTCACTCAAGCTGACCCGACCCGACCCGACCCGACATTAAATAAGGTAAAGCCAAATTGTGTGTTTACGGTGACGCTCTAAAATTATCCAGGTACTGATAGATAATGATGTGCACCGGTTCGGTTGACCAAGTCAAACCGACCCGAAACATTAGAGATATAAACCAAATCCGAACCGAAACCGATCTTAACTCACTCAAGCCGACCCGACAAAAAATAAGGTAAAGCCGAGCCAAAAAAAAAAACCCCAAAAAACGAATACCTGGCTTCCGCTTGGACAAAGTGATCAATTTTTCGTGCCTACCCTCACCCACGTGACATGAATTCTTTTGCAAAACAATCGTCTCTCTCTCTGTCATACTCAGTGGGTTGATCGAGAGTAACTCCGCTTATTAGCCCTAACGTCACCTAAAGCTACAAAATACTACTCAGTAGTAACTTGTAGTATGCATTTCTTTCCATACAAGTGTGCACAAAACATGTAGTATTCTGTGGTATTTGGTCCTTGACCCCCAAAGAGCCCTTAAGACGTTAGGGTTAATCAAACGCATGGTCACTACGCGGTATGAAAACTGTTACAATCTATTTCACTGTCAGTCCCGATCCGACTGGAGAAATTAACACCGTGGGCACTTGATAAAGCGCTCGGTGGCCACACCACACAATGGGCTGCCGTCACAGTGACTGTCTATTATTATATTGCATCACCTGAATTTCTCAACTGTTTATTCAGTTTCTTTCGGTTTATTTCGGTTTTTCAAAAGATGGCTAAACCGACCCGACCCGACCCAACTGAAAAGATGGACAAACTGACTTAACCCGACCCGAAGTCGGTTTCGGGTCGGGTCGGTTTCAGTTTCGGGTCGGGTCGGTTTCAGTTTCGGATCGGGTCGGTTTCAGTTTCGGATCGGGTCGGTTTCAGTTTTGGGTCGGGTCGGTTTCAGTTTTGGGTCGGGTCAGTTTCAGTTTCGGGTCGGGTCGGTTTCAGTTTCGGGTCGGGTTTGCACATCATTACTGGTAGGTACCGCTACAATGTTGGTGGGAAATATGTGCATATAGTTTGGGGACTTAGTCCAGAAGGCCTGGCGTGACTAAATATTGATGGAGTACATGTACGATGGACTTGGGCCTAAATAATGGCCTGAAGCAGTGCTAGGGCTATCCGATGTGCCTAGCTTCCTGTACAGCTATTGAGATACAAACCGTACATGTACATGTAGCATGTCCATAAATGTCAACCAGTGCGTCAGTGGTGGATTCCATTATGTCATGTACAGTTTTGTATTGGACGCACAGTGATTGATGGATTTCAATGGAAGTGGTCCAGTTCCTAGTAAAAGACGGAACTGTAAAGAGGGAATTTCAAAATTTTAAATTTCTCAACAATAACAAGTTTTGAGGTTGACAATTTAAAGCTATAATCCATCATTTGCAGCTATCCGAAAAAGTAACTGGCGAATTATTGTTAAAAAACATAGTTGGTTGAAAGATAGCGAGGGGACTAAACTCCCTGTGAAATTAATCTTTCTGACAAGCTATCATGTTGAAGTAATCAACGAAAGAAGGCCTTTCCAACGGTGTGTCTTAAGACGCACCGTAGGAAAATTTAAATTAGTAGTTCGTTTTGTTATTCGGCGCAGCGCGCGCAAGCATTGGCACGACGCTCACGCGTGCGCGGTTGCTATAATTCGTCGAATCAGTGCACGCGACATCGCGTATAGCTGCAATTCTAAACAATTCAAAACATTATTCAGCAACTTTTGATTTGAAATTGAGATCCTAGAATGCTGTTTTTCTCGGAATATACCGGTACAGCTGAAGCTGAACTGAAACTTTATCAGGTTAGTTGTTCAGTATCCTTCATTAGATTTTGAACACTTTTGTTGCTTCAAACGGACAAAATGCACAAATTACAAATGATGGACTATATCTTTGAGCGCAAAAAATACAGGTACCTATACAGGTCAGGTTAGCATAAACACACATTTGTTTTTGGCCTCACTTAAATAAGGTGCAGTTTATAGTGCGTAACGAATGATTTCATGAATAATTTAGCATTACCAGCAGAATTACTTGATCAGCATGGAGGAGGTAGAATGAATGGCAGCACACAACACATGCATACGAGTATGTGAAAAGTTAACGAGATCCCACGATCACCTGATGGGAAAAATAGATCACTCTAAGGGTAAAGTATCAATGCAAACGGATCAAAACCCACAGCAAGGCAATACCCCATAGATACAATGAGTTAATAATACAGGGTGAGTGAAAAAAATGAAACCCAAATATCAGGACTATTGTTTTAGTGAAGTTCTGCATGTAGCACTTTGAAAATAAAGGATATGAAAGCCCAATTCATAAGCTTTCTTGTAGTACAAGAATCATTCAAATCACTTATGCACTTTTTAAGTTATGGAATTTTAAACGCAACCACTGTTTTAAAGTTCTGTCCACGGATCACAAAAAAAAGGTGTGCGTTCTTTCAGCAAAATGAAAACAATTCACACACATCCCTATGTGATTTGTTTTCGTTTTGCTGAAAGAACACTGAACTTTTTTGTGATCCGTGGACAGAACCTTAAAAACGGTGGTTGTGTTTAAAATTCCGTAACTTGACAAGTGATTCGAATGATTCTTGTACTAAAAGAAAGCCTATGAATTGGGCTTTTGCATCCTAGATTTTGAAAGTTCTACTTGCAGAACTTCACTAAAACAATGGTCACGACATTTCAGTTTCGTGTTTTTTTACTCACCCTGTATATACAATGAGTTAATAATACTTCAAGGAGAGACAATTAAGTATAAAATTAACGGATCAGAGAGTGGTTGTTAGCAGGGGAAAAAAGGCAGCTCAGTTAAAGATACATGTAGAGTGGATTATTTGCAGCTACCCAAAAAGTAACTGACCAAATTATTGTTAAAAAGCTTACACGGTTTAAAGATAGAAGTGACACTAAACTACATGTACCTGTAAAAATATATTCCTTTATGTGAACACAAATAATTTTAAAACTGTTTTAACTCTAACTCCCTAGGCCTTTTCGCAAGGATGTAGCCTCAATCCTGCAAAATGCTCTAATTGGCCTCATGAAAAAATAGCATTGCCTCAATCTTGCAAATTCCTCCATTATTTCTTGAATATGGTCCATATTTCTTGAGGGATGACCACTGCCTGAATCCTGCAAAATCCACGACAGTGAGTGTCAATCATGTTGAGGCTTGGCCAGTGACATCCTGGAGCAGTACAGAGGATTTCAAGCATAATCCAGGCCTATATTTGTTTATGCATGGCTGAGCAAAAACAACACAAGGTCCGGCCCAAGACCTTGACAAAGTGCATCCTACAAAATCAGTAACGCTTTTTTGTCATGTAATCTCAATCCTCCAAATTCCTCCACTTTGGCAAAGAGGATTTTGAAGGATTCAGGGTGGTTGGGGTTAAATATCAAACCAATACTCGCCAGGGATAAAGTTCAGATTCCAAGCTTTGAAATGGTATCAGTTTGTGTTTCCGCGCTGACGCTTAAGCCTCGCAAACAAAAGTTGCTGGTATTTTGGGACACGCTGGATATACATGTATGCCATGTAGCCAGGGATCACACCCCAAGTCGCGATGCTGGTAACATTAGCAATGCTGCAAACCGGGAAATAGCTCAGTTGGTAGAGCACCGGAACGGCAATCCGGAGGTCCTTGGTTCAAACCCCACTCCAGTCAATTTCTTTGGTCACTTATTAGGGCTGTCCATACAGGGTGAGACCAAAAAAATAAAACCCAAATGTCGGGACTATTGTTTTTAGTGAAGTTCTGCATGTAGCACTTTCAAAATCTAGGATATAAAAGCCCAATTCATAAAAATTTCTTTTAGTAGTACAAGAATCATTCAAATCACTCAAGTACTTTTCAAGTTATGGAATTTCAAACACAACCACTGTTTTAAAGTTCTGTCCACGAATCACACAAAAGGTGTGCGTTCTTTCAGCAAAACGAAAACAATTAAACACATCCCTATGTGATTTGTTTTTGTTTTGCTGAAAGAACACTTACCGTTTTTTGATCCGTGGACAGAACTTTAAAATAGAGGTTGTGTATAAAAAGTCTGTAACTTGAAAAGTACATGAGTGATTTGAATGATTCTTGTACTAACAGAAAGCTTATGAATTGGGCTTTTATATCCTAGATTTTGAAAGTGCTACATTTAGAACTTCACTAAAACAATGGTCCCGACATTTGGGTTTCGCTTTTTTTTACTCACCCTGTATTCAAATAATTTAGCATTCGATTAATTCAAAACTCCGTTTGACTGAATCTTCCAAACTCGCTGATCAAGTTTTACACACGCCAGCTGCAGCTGCCTTCCTCGCTGGTCAAAAACTTGCATACGAAGCGCGACGGTTAAAATTTGGCGATGGATACTATGGACCGCTAGAGTGTTCTTTTGTTGTTTTTGCTCAGCCATGCATAAATATAGGCCTGGATTATGCTTGAAATCCCCCGTACTGCTCCAGGATGTCACTGGCCAAGCCTCAACTTATTGACAGGTCACTGCCGCAGGTTTTTGCAGGATTCAGGCAGTGGTCACCCCT